AGCCAACAGTAGGGTACCCACAGAGAGGTACTACCAAGTCATATGGCAACAGGCAGGGATGTTAATGCTCTTATAAAAGGAGAACAAATGATTGAGAATTATAATACAACGTACCAGACCATAGAATGGTATACTATGCTATACTTTTATAATAACTTTTTTCTTTGTAAAGTTTATTGTGCTTTACATGATTTTTTTTCTTAATAAAATTAGCAGCCTCATTTTTACTTTGTGGCAGCTGATAAGAGTTTATGATATAGCTAATGAACAAATAATTACTTTAAAATTCTAGAATTTTAAAAGGTCAGGTTTTGGTATTGACAACTTTAGTTTAGAAGTTTTCCTTTAGAAATTTATTAACTAAATAACTCATATGTAATATTGCATACTGATTTCAAGTTTTTGGAGTTCTATATTTTTCCCCAAATTGAAAATAGCTTTGTTGTTTAATTTTACTTATGTAAATAAGTAGGGCATGCTTATTATAAAAAAGTTTTTAGGGAATACAGAGTAATGTAAAGAAAATAAAAATCATTATAATCCCATCATCCAGACATAATCACTGTTACCATGTTGCTATACCATTCAAATTTTTTTCTGTGCATCATTATGTATATTATATATGTGTGATTTTTTAGAACTCTAAAATTGTTATATTTAAGCGAAAAAAGCCAGTTTTACTGAGACACACCAAAAACACTCTTTGGTCATCTTGCTTGATGAGTGAATTGGCAATTTGAAGGGCTTTTTCCATTCTCACTTAGCTGTATCGTTTAAGTATAGTAATCAGCACAAGGTGTACTTTAGAACACTTAAGTAAGCTCATGCCTTCTCAAATGTGTTTATGTAGTAACCTAATGAGTTTGTAATGTGATGATTAATAAGGTACAGTTTGGAGCTCAGGATTCCTTACCGTGTATGAGGGTTTTTTTCTTTCTTTTTTCCCCCCTGGACAAAAAAGGAGACATTGGATTTTATCACTTCACCAACCTATAAAAATTCAACTGAATTGTCTTTAAAAATTAACTTTTAGATTATTGAGGGAACATACTTCATTTACTTTCTCTAGCAAAGTACTTACACCCCTATCTGTAAGCAGGGTTAATATATCATTTTCATTCAAACTGGGTCATTTCTGAGAATGAAAGGGACACACTATATTTTCAATTTTGTAAGTTTTTAAAAATACTTAATCTTTTGGCCATCACAATGGTTTTATTACATTGATAGATCAGTAAAACAGTTGTATTCAAGTCTGTTTTCAAAATTAAAAATTTCTAAAGGATTTGTTCTGTATTACAACAAAGTAAAGTCTTTACACTGATTATCAGACTATTAAAAAATAAACAATAATTATTCTTGGTAATAATCAGATTTGATTTTTCAGTCAGTTTCTTAGCCATAGCTGTCTTTAATGCTTTTGGAGCAATGTAATTATTTTCCAGTATAGTTTAACTAGTTGTAATTTTTTCATAAAACTGCTTGCCGTATTTTTCAGTGACATTTATGTTTTGTGGTTGTCAACACTTAACAGTTGACCCTTCTCTGTAACCAGTAACATTTTTAATTGCTAATATACTCTCTGTATAGATTGTGATATACCTGGTTAGTTCAGTAAAATTTTTGCAAATTGGAGAATATTCTTAATTCTATTTTATTGAAAACTATAAATTTATCAGCACCCATATTTTCAAAGGCAGTGTCTTTTTGCCTTCACTAAAGGTACTCTGTTGGACAAATATTTTTATAAGACAAATCTTGTCATATAAGTTGTTTCTATTTATGATTATATTACATAGCCCATTAAATTTAGATGCTACAAAATTGTAGGCTTTCTGTAATTTCATTTAATTCCAGTAAAGAGTTTAAGTTTTTTCAGTTAAAAATAGGAATACTCTTTTGGTGGAACTCCTACAATTCATTACAAAGTATAATTATAGGATTTCAAATTTAAATCATGTATACTATTTGAGCTCTCATCAATTCTTCCTTTGCTTTTGAGGGAGGTATTTCAATATTTTGGCAAATGCCATCTGTAATAATTGGTATTTGCTAAAAGCTTCAAAGCTAAAGTTTTTTTGGAGCTTTAATCATTGAACTTTAATCTTTGATTAAAGATTTCTGACTAATTTTGAACAAAATGCTACTTGTTTTCAAGAAGATTCAATACTGAGACACTTAGGTTGAATTTATAAAGTCATTTTTCAAAGATTCCAGTGTTTAAAATCTGAAGATAGGTTGCAAGTAGAGCGCACATATTGCCATGTTGAAGTTTTTTTTTTTTTATTTTTTTTATTCAATAGTATTTTTACTCAACATTTTAACTGGATATATGAAAACATTTGTAAATTTTGACAATTTCAACTAACTCACAACAGTTATGTTACTAGAGCTCCATTTTAAATAGAAATAGCCTCAAGTTTTATGCAAATTGTTTATTCATTTTCTACAGAAATGGAAATTTAGTTCTTTTGTGTTAAATATACAGTTACTTCATTTTAGCTCATTGCTACTGAAAGGGCTTACTGGATAATAAAAATGATTGCCCAACAACAAAATAAATAAACAATTGCAGATTTATATTCTGCAATAAATGACAACCACCTCACGAGTTATCAGACTTGACTCCTCCCACCTAACCTAGAATTCCCCACTGACTTAGCCAGTTGGTTGCCTGGTGCATCTTGCAGGTCATTGCACACGCTGTAGTACCAACTGGCACACCAAATAGCCAGCAGGAGCACCAGTGTCAAATACTTTTTCCGCTGTCTCAAAAGGCTATAAGGACTTAGGTGTCCATGGTTGCTTGTGTCTGAGGATACTTAGGTGCATGCTGTAACTAATACCTAAAAGAAAGTGTTAGCCACGTTGTATCTGTAAAGACTCAGGAAAAGAAAGATGGAAATATCACTAGTTCTCTTTCAGATTTCATAACTTGTTTAAGTGATAAAAGCACTGACAGAGTATTAGCTGATACCTTGGCCAGAAGCTAGATATATGCAGTTAGAAGTATACTGACTCCATCTTGGTTTATTTTAATGTAGTGATTAATAATAATAGTTCATTTAAGATAATGAGAAATCTGAGGCAAATGGTAACCTGGATGGGATGCTGGAACAACAAACAGTAGGTTGTGAATCAGGACCGCCCTGAGCAAACCAGGGCGTATGGGAAGCAGCATGGCGGTGTGAAAGCTCATGGTGCTGGGAGCAGGGCTGCATTTAGGTCCAGTCTCTGCCATGTAAAGGTTTGGACAAGTAACCTCTCTGAGACCAGGTATATTAGGGTTCTCCAGAGAAACAGAACCTACCGGGGACTGACTGACTCACTCACTCACTCACTCACTCACTCTAATTTTAAGGAGTTGGCTCATGTGTGGAGACTGGCGAGTCCTGACTCTGAAGGGCAGGCCCAGGGAGGAGTCCATGTTGCAGCCAGGTCTGAAGGCGTTCTGGAGACAGGTTTCCTTCCTCAGGGGACCGCCTTCTTTCTGCTTAAGGCCTTCAAATGATTGGATGATGCCCACCCACATTATGGAGAGTAATTTGCTTTACTCAGAGTCTTCTGATTTAAATATTGATAACAGCTAAAAAAAAAAATACCTTTACAGTAATATCTAGACTGATATGTGACCAAACAATTGGCTACCATACCCTAGTCAAATCAACACGTATATGAACTTCACACTAGGTTTCCTCATTTGCAAAGTTAGATGATAATATGTGGCTCACAAAAATAAACTGTGGAAGTATTTATAAAGCACTAGCATAATGTGTTCTCCAAGTAGGCAATCAGTGAATGTTGGTTTCTCAGTCCAGTCTTATACCCAAGGTTGGGCCAGTAGTAAGACTTGAAGATATTTTTCCCATTTTATCTTTTTATTTCTAAGCTTCTCCTGCCCCTCCATCTGTTTAATAAGCCCTGTCAAATCTATCTTACACACTTTTCTTCAAAGCATGTCTTTTTTTCTGCTGTTGCCATTGTTCAGGTTCTTTACTGGGTCATTAAATTCATTTCCTCAGTAGCACTCTACATTCCATGCTACTTCTTCGCATATAAATAATCACCTTGAACTAATACTAAGGTAATAGCTCCTGAATTTGTCCCCTTTTTCCATCCTTATATTCTTTTACCATGTAGATGAAGACCTTCTTAAGTTGTCTTATACAGAACTTCACAATCTTATCTTCACATTATATCACCATTCAGGACACCTAGTGATTCTTTTCAATGTAATTGAGCTTTCCATTGCATGCTCGCCTTTGTACATGCTGTTACCTGTGTATAGAATCACCCTCTCCCCGCTACTCATACTTCAAATTCCTGCGCTAACAACACTTCCATTCTGGTTCCTAAACTCCCTTCCTGGTTCCAGAACACTCTTACACATTCATGTATAGGTGAACCTGAGCATTCAAACACTGATACTCCTAAACTGTCTTTCAGATGAGATGGTAAGTCTGTTCATCAGCTGACCAAGGAACCCTTTGAACTGTGGTATGAATTGAATGGCACTCCCTGGCCTACAAGCATTCCAGATCTGATGATGCAAGGATCATCTTTTTGTATACCATTTGTGTATTCGTTTTATTATTTTATTGAAGTGGTTTTTGAATTGTATTCTTAGGTACTTTGGGCACTTGGGTAGAGATTGACATCTTAAGGCTTTTGGTCTTTCAATGGTCTTTTACACCAGCATTTCACCCCTAATTTGTTATATGTTGGGTTTTGAGTAAAATTTTGCATGAGGAAGAGAGTTCTGATGTCAAGAGTAGTTTTTAAAAATCTTCTTTTATTTCTTCTACCTGATTCTTCATAATCTATGTGGCTGTCTTTATTCACTCCCATTGTCCTTCCCAAAAGAAACAAAACCAGATTTTTTGATATCAAGGACATTTTAATCCTATTTGTCTTTATCCTTCAAATAGCTATTGAATGATTGCAAATATATTAATAAGTTATTGGATAGCATTTAATTTCTAATTATTTATTTATTTTAGTTATCAAGTGGGAATCCTGTGTATGAAAAATACTATAGACAGGTAAGATTTTTGTTTGTCTTCCTAGATTGAACATAAAATGTGTTTGCAACCCTTGATTGTATACATGCAGATTACCAGTCAGCCGGATAAATTGGACATGTCTTGTTTTTAATTTTTTATGCTTTAGCCTCCTGCTTTGAGTACTTAATACTTTTGACAAGCTCTCAGAAAATGAAGGAAAGATAATTAAGCCTAAATACTTAATTATCTCAAATATTTATGTATCTTAAAAATCCATATAACATTAGATGTGTTCATCTAAAAATAAACTAAATGGAAATTACTTTGTTTTTAAGACTTGTTAAATGTTAATATTTAAAAGTTAGAACTATGACTCTCATATACATGTAAAATGGACATGTGTCAAGGATTTTATTAAACTCATTAATTACTGGGAGACCCAGTAAGATGTAAAAATGAGAATATGAGTTATAGAGATTTATATTGTACAGACAAAATTCTCATTTCATTAGTATGAATTTAACTACTATCCCAGCAGAGTGTAAAATAGCCTAGTTGATTGAAAGTCAATCAAGAGTGCACATCGTAGATTTGATAATTTCCTGAGGGTGTAAACAGTCTCATTTGCCTATCTCCAAATATTAGATAGTTTTTCCTAATAATCTTCTCACCTTGTGTGCCTGATAACAGAAAAAGCTGGTGTCATTTTCTGTGACCTGGCTATCTCCATAGTGTGACTTGCAGATTGAGAGTCATATAGTCACTATTTAACAAATTCTGTGGCTAAAGAATTAATCTCTGCCTAAAATGTTTAAAACATCTCAGATTGACCTTTATTTGTTCCTGTATTTTGAGGCTAAGATCCAAACCTTAGAAATTCTCCTTGCATATTTCACCCGCTGCACCTATGAGTTTGAGAGAATAGATCTCATCTTGAGGTTTCCCAGATCTGCTAAGGTTCCTAGTCTGCTAAGTGACCTTGCTTTAACTGTCTGAGAGACTGGGAATTTACAAACCAGGTTGCAGGCTGGTTTTCTCTGGTAGGCTACTTCTTGTTCCTTAATAGTGGCTTGTTCTATCTGAATAAAAGAGAATAATTCTCAAGTATTACCTTGTTTTGCACAACTGATTTTCTCAATTATATCCTGATAAAAAAGGAGACCAAATTTTTATTTAATCTATGTAATAATTACTATATTGCCATAAAAAGTAAGGACATTCAGTTAAAGGATTTGATTTTGAATTCTAAAGAGTCAGGGAGAGTCAGATATCATTGAAAACTATTTCATTCACTTAGAAACACAGTCTACTAAATTGAGGGTCAGAGATAGTGTAAGAAAAACAGCCTTTTCATGTATCCATTACTGAACAGAATATTAAAAATAATACCAATAATATTCCAAGTAAATAACCATAATTACATTTCCCTCAATAGTTCATTCAGTCCTGTGTAATTCTTGTTTTGCATCTTGGGTCAGGAGTCTGCTTTCACAAAATACGAGGTCTGTCCAGAAGGTATCCAGCCACATAATACGAAAAATAGAGACATTTATTGAAGAAGATACAAGATACATTGTATATAGGACAATGACACCTCAGTCCCCTTCAAACTAGGCACGTTGGGACCTCACACTGTTCTCCCATTTGCCATCAGCCACCTTGTCTTATTTTCCTGAATCTTACTGAGTGTCTGAAATCTTTTCTCTTTCAAAGGTGATTTTAGTTTTGGGAAAAGCCAGAAGTCACAGGGTGCCAACTCTGGGCTATAGGGGGGCTGAGACACCTGAGTAATTTGATGTTTCACCAAAAACCTCTGCACAAGACATGATGCATGAGTGGGTATGTTGTCATGATGAAGCTGCCAATCACTAGTTGCCCGTAGCTGCTGCCTTCTGAAATATCCAAATGGTTTATGTGGAGGAATATTTAAGGTTGACACAAAATTTGATGCAGATGCATTGCTCTACTCAGTCATTTTGAGTGCCACCACCACACGGTACACATGTTCACTCTACAGCTCTACTGTCCCCACTGACTAGTACAGTGAAGTTGTTCAGGCATGTGCACTCTCCTTGGCTGCCAGGTTACATTGATATTACACAAATGTTCTTGTTATATTAACAATGACTGGACTTTTTCTGGACAGACCTGTTATCTCTATTTCTGGATTGCAGAGAGTCCTGGAAATATCTGACAGTTCACTATACAGTCTGAAGGTTGCTAAAGTGATGTAGGTCAAAAGTCTTTACCCCAAAGTCTTTATTTTGAAGTGTTAACAATACAGAGTACAGGGTATAGTCATTTAGATGAGGCTCTAAGAGTGTTGAAGACATAATTGTAGCTGGTAGCTTATAGCAGAGCCTTTAGATAAGCATAAGAATACAACAGAAACTACCTGTAGATGACAGTGACTAAATGGCTATGTTATTTATTTTAATAGCCAAAAGAATGGAAGATAGTAAAATTCTTAATTGGAATACAGTGCATAAATATATTTTTTAAAGATTTTATGTATCTATTTTTAGAGTGAGAGAAACATCGGTGGGTTGCCTCTCTCATGCCCCCAACTGGGGACCTCGCCGGGAATCGAACCCACAACCTTTCATTCCTCAGGCCAGCACTCAGTCTACTGAGACACAGCAGCCAGGGCTGGTACATAAATATTTCATAAGAGTTTGATTAATGTTTCCCCTGAGTGCCTCTATATTTAGAATATCCTGGGGTAGGTATTCTCCAGCAACATAACCCCCTCCCCACCATCCCTGGTCAGGAAGTGGGGAAAGAAGGAGTTCTGGAAAATTCTAGAGGCAGGTTTCCAACCCTTTTTGTACTTCCTTGTTACCCCAAATTTGGATTGGGCAATTCTTCCATTTTTGCTGAGTGCCAGATTTATCCTATGTTCTAGTGCTTGGAAAAAAAGGATTTCTCTTTTGCTTCCTGGATGGGATTGGCCTGTCTGGAATGTTTTGTATGTGTTTACAACAAACTTAGTCTTTAACTAAACCGGAAAAATAGCTAGCTTACAAATACCCTAGTATCATGTTATCTTTCCCATAACTTTAAAAAACTTTCATTTTTACAAATAGAACTTTACTTTAGGAAATTTTACAGAAGTGTGTGTCACTTTTTTTCTTTTGAACTGTTTTCTGTTCTTGGTGACCTCATTCTGTCTTAAAGGGAAGTCCCTCTAGGTTAAAATGATGTGTTACTCTTGATGTGCTTTAGGCGCTTAACAATTTTTAAAATGTATAAGTTTATTATGGAATCACTGCTGGTTTTAGAGCTGCTTTGATTTTTTTTTAAATAGAGTGTTGCAGTTTCTAACAGTAAGTATAAAAAGCAGAAGTTAATGATTTAAAGGTGTTGAAAAAACAGGTAACATATGCAGCTATTCCCATTTGTCAAAAGACCTCCCCAGGAAATGCTGCCCTTTTCCTCCTATTACCATTAAGCTTATTGGAATTTAAAAGGCAACTTTAGAAGACTTGGAGTTAGGAGATAATGTGTTAATGTTATGACTCCGCTAATTTGCTGTGCTTCCTCGAGCTTCAGTTCTCTCATTTGTATAATGGACATGATAAAAAACACTTTGTAAATTGCCAATACTGTCTAGATGGTAACTCTATTTATATGGCTCTCCATATATTCCTTGGCCTTGGTTTAGTCAAAGGATTCCCACTCCTTTTTGAAAAAGCTAGTTCCCAAATCACAGGAAGGAAGGCAAATAATTTTGTGCTTGTTGTCAGCTTACTATTTGTATTCTTTCAGGTTGATACTGGCAATACTGGAAGGGTATTGGCTTCTGATGCTGCTGTTTTCCTGAAAAAATCAGGGCTCCCAGACTTGATACTTGGAAAGGTAGTATTTGTTTATTATGACTAGATTATAATGAATATTTAGTAGAGTAGATACATTGGATGCAAATTCACAAAGATACCATCGACAAACTTGGAAGTTAGAACTGAGTAATAGGGGCAGTTACAGTAATGTGATGCAGGGAATTTGAAAAGTAAGGTGTTTTCAGATGTTTAGAAAACAAATTACATTTTAGTAGGATAAATGAGGAAGCAGTAGTACATTTGGGCATTGTGGGGAGAAAGAGTGCAGGCTGGGAGCCTTGCCACCCACTCAGAGGTGGCTCTATCTCTACTTCCTCTAGTATAACTGTCTCTAACTGTGTTTTATATGTAGTGAATAGAGTGGGGGATGAGAGGCTTAAGAAAAAGCACAAAGAACTGGAAAGTCCCTCTGCTGGCTTGATCTCATGGCGAGTCCTTATACATGATGTGTATTCAAAAACCTTTAAAATTTTCATTAATAATTTAATTATTCACAAATAAACATTAACTATTTCAACTTGCCCATAAGGAAGAATATCATCTTAGTAAAGATCTAAAATCAAGGTAGTATGTTTTAATAAAAATAGCATTAGACTTGGTATTAGAGCCTGGTTTAATGAAAAAGGCATTGGATTGGAAATTAGGACCTGGGTATCAGTTCTTTCCCTGATGCCCTAAATGTTCTTGACTTGACTTTACAGTTAACTTTACTGGGTGTTAGTGACTTTAGTGTCTTTGTGTAGTGTTGCACTAAATGATCTTTAAGGTTTCTTTCCACTTTTAATTCTATGATTCTTTTTAAAAAAATAATGTAAAAAAAATCCTCACTGGAAGACATTTTCATTGCTTTTGGTGGTGGGGGGAGTTGGGGGGAGGGAGAGAAGCATTGATGTGAGAGAGAAGCATTGATTGTTTTGCCTTATGTACCTGCCCCAACTGAGGATGGAATCCACAACCTAGGTATGTGCCCTGACCGAGAATCAAACCTGCAACCTCAGCATACCAGACAACACTCCAACCAACTTAGCCACACTGGCCATGGCTTAATTCTATGATTCTTAAATCTAATACCAAAGATCACTAAGTTGTAAATTGCAAGGATTTAATTTATCTTTAAGATGAAGTTGTTTAAAATATAGGTTGATACTTTTTTTTTTTTTTTCAGATTTGGGATTTAGCTGACACAGATGGCAAAGGTATCCTAAACAAACAGGTAAGATTTAAAGATTCATATGAAAAAATTTGAGTGATTCAGAATAAAAAAAGTCAGCAGTTTTTTGTGTTTATTTTTTTATCCTTATCCGAGGACATTTTTCCATTGCTTTTAGAGAGAGAGAGACAGACAGACAGACAGACAAACAGACATCAATGTAACAGAGAGGCATCAGTTGGTTGCCTATCAGATACCCTGACCAGGGACTGAACCCACAACCTAGGCATGTGCCTGGATCGAACCCTCAGCCTTTTGGTGTACAGGATGATGCCTCAACCCATGGAGCCACACTGGCCAGGGCTTTGTACTTTTAAACTAAGAATTTCTTTTTACCAACATTAGAGTTTTGCAAGGGCAAGTGTCATGACAATGAAAAAATTTCTAATCAGTAGTCATTAAAGTAACTAATTCCCATTGGCTAGTGTTAGTTCAGCGACATTGTTCTGCTGGAGGGTCTTAGTCTGTTTGGGCTGCTGTAACAAAATATCACACACTGGGTAGCTTATAAACAGAAATTTATTGCTGATAGATTTAGGGGCTGGAATTCTGAGATCAGGGCACCAACATGGTCAGGTGAGGTCTCTCTGCCTGATTGCAGACTTCTTGTTGTATCTGCACATGCCAAAATGTGCATCTCTCTTGAACCCTCTTTTATAAGGCATTAATCCCATTAATGACTCCCCTGATGGCTAAACACCTCCCAAAGGCCCTACCTCCTAGTACCATCATCTTTGGGGGTTAGGATTTGAACATAAGAATTTTGAGGGACACATCAAATAATAGCATGGATTTTTTTTTCAGTCATTCAGAGAGATTTTATTCTTTATAGCTTACTAATTAAATTTCTTACATGTACAGGGTTTATAAAGAAACAAGAGTTTTATTAGTTAAGTGTTAAGATGGTATTGCCTTATACATTTGAAAGGAGATTCTTGGCTAATCAAACCTGAATATTCTGGTTCAGGTCTTACCTCTGACATAAACAAAAACAAACAAACAAAAAAAGTTTATAAGCTAGATATAAATCCTAGACTAGAAGTACATAGAAGTAGTTCTGGGTGTGTTGGACACCATCGGTGTTCTTTTAAGTCCTGTTTGTTGAGGATGGATTTTAGAGTTCTACAGAGTTGGATTCAGAGCTTGCTACAGGCTGATAGGTTGGTTGACTACAGCACTCAAAGCTAATTCTCCTTAACATGGGGACTGCTGAAGTAGTATGAAACTCAGAAAGAGGATGGGAAAAATTTTGATGAGGTGGTCAGAAGATGCAGTCTCTTCATTAGGATTATAGGGCTAGATTGTATTGTAGTCCCCATTGGGGCTCTGGGCAAAAGGGCCAGTTTGGTGCATTGGAGACATAGGAACACCAAATTCATGAGCACCCAGAGTCTGCAAATATTTGTTGAATACCTATTTTGAGCCAGGCTTTGAAAATACAGAGGTGAATGTGGTTCCTATATTCATGAGTTGACCATTTAATAAATTCTGCACGGATATTTATGGACTTTGGACGTTGAGTTTAAGTTGCCTTTGTTACAGCTAGGTGGCTGGATTTATGAGTTGTAGTTAAACTTTGATGTTTGCATTGGGGGAATAGATTTTTGAATTAATGTATGAAGGAAAGAAAATAAACTATACTTACTGAGTTTCTTTGTGCCAGGAATGACAGTAGGTGCTTTCTTCCTACAGTATGGTTTTTATTTTGGTCCCATAATATATTGCAAGGTAGCTATTAGCACCCCTCCCCTTTTATGGAGGAATTGTATTTAACTTGCCCATGGCCTCACAACTTTAAGTAGCAGAACTAGAATTTTTTGCAGGATTATTTTACTTCAGAACCCACCCGTACTTTGGGAATGTACCAGATTACCTGAGTAACTGAATCTCATATAGAATGAGAAGAGAAAGAAGGTTAATATTGGAATACCAGAACTTAAAGGTTAGAGGATTTAAAGGTTGACTTCCACAAAGTGACTTGAAAGGTCAGGAGCACAGGGAGAGCTTTAAGAAGCCATGTTGGCAGAGGACAGGGAAGCCTCAGGGAAGATTGTGCTTTCCAGGCTGTTGAAAGAAACAAGTAGGAGGAGGCTTTTTTCCTTTTTTTTTTTTAAAGAGCATTTGGTAGTTAGGATGTTATTTGTGACATAGTAGTTTCTCTAGCTAATGGTGGGAGTTGGAGTCAGTTGCATAGAAGCTTGTGGAATGAATGAAAAGAGAAGGGGAGATACTGAAATAAATATCTCAGTCGTTTTTTCAAGAAATTTATGAGTGAAGGCAAGGTATTGTATATACCAGACAACCTGCACGTTTCTAAGAACAGGTTAGGAATTGGGTGAGAAAGGTGTCGGTGAGACCAGGAGGCGTGAGGAAAGTAGTGAAGGATTGATTGTATTAATAACTGTACTAGAGAGTATTGACAAGCTGTAAAGTTATACAAGTGGAATAAAAGTCTTTTATGTCTTTTCCCAGACCTGACTTTAACTAAAAACAGCTGAAAACTAGTTGCTTCAGCATGTTTGCATTAATTTATTACATTCTGGACTGAGACGTCAAATAGCAAAAATCCAAGGAACTTTGGGAGAGATTTATAAGTGTTTTGAAGTCAAGCAGTTATATAATTGTTTTTAGATGCTGTACAGTTATTTTCTGAAGCTTCTCTGGAATAGCAGTGATTGAGGCACTTGAATTACTTTATAATCTTAAATCCAGAGATGACTTTTGATAACATTTCTGTATTATTTTCTTCTGAGCTTTTTTTTTTCCAGATTCTTTTCCCTCAATTGATAAAAAGCATTTCTTAACACCATTAAATATTTTTTGAAGCATGTTTATTAATTTTGTTTAATTTCCACCATCTGTATGTATCACCATTTAAATATTTTTCCATTTATATTAACACTTTTTTTTTTTTTTTGCTATTTATAATGTTGGGACCATCTCCTCAATTTTAAAGCAAGTGTTATTCAAGCAAATGTGCTGTTACATTTGTTGTTACATAAAAACCTTGGAGTAATTGTGAATTGTTGTATTTTCAGATTTTAAGTATGTCTGTAGATGGATGGGTGGATGGGTGCATGGATAGGTAGAGATGCTCTTACAGTCCTACTCTTCTTCCTCAGGAATTCTTTGTTGCTTTGCGTCTTGTGGCATGTGCCCAGAATGGATTGGAGGTTTCACTGAGTAGCTTGAACCTGGCTGTTCCTCCACCAAGATTTGTAAGAAATGCTTTTAAATTTAAATTGTATTTTTAAGATTGCTGTATTAAAAAATTTCCCCCAACTTCTATCACCCAGCTATTTTTCTTTCATAATGACTACTACTGTTAATTAGTTTCTTGTGTGTCCTTCCAGAGTTGTTCTATGTGTACATAAAGAAATAATACCTATATTCTTATTTTATATTAATTATAGCATACTGTACACATGATTATATACCTTATTTTAATAACAATGTATTTTGGAGATCTTTCTGTACGATTATGTAAAAGCTTCCTCATTCATTTTTATGGCTGCTTTCTATTAATATTTCCTTGCTTCTATTGACCATAATTTATTTAACTTCCTATTGATAGGCTTCTAGCTTGTTTCTAATATTTAAAAAAAAATTTTTTTTAAGTCATTACCCGAGGATATTTATATACATTGATTTCAGAGAGAGAGGAAGGGGGCGGGAGGAGAGAAAAAGGGAAAGGGAAAGAGAAAGAAAGAAACGCTGATGATAAATGAGAGAAACATTTATCAATTGATCAGTTGCCTCCTGAATGTGCCCCAACTAGGGACTGAACCCACATTGTAGGTATGTGTCCTCACTGGAAATCAGGCTCACAGCCTTTCAGTTCAGGACCATGTTCCAACCAACTGAGCCACACCAGCCAGGGTGCTTGTTTCTAATCTTTTATTTTAAAAAATGCTGCAGAGCTTAATAACCTTGAATGTACAGTGGAGCCTCGATTCTTAAAAATTTGTTCTGGAAAACTTTGAGAAGCAGTTTGTTCAAAAACCAAATCTTTGTCATCTGAGAGATGCGTGACTGATCATTTAGGTATCAGCATGAAAGGGTTTTTGAGTAGAGAATCAACACTTGAAGTTTTTTCAGACAACCAAGACATTTTTTCTGTGAACAACCTAGTTGAGAACCAAATTATTTGAGAACTGAAGTTTGACTGTTTATCATTTTGCGTGTGCAGAAATGTACTTATATGGATAAATGATCAGAAATGGAATAGCTGTTTTAAAAGTCTGCACATTTGTAATTTTCGCATAATATCAACGTGTCTTCTTACTGGTTGCACTAGTTCACACTCCCATCAGCAAGTGGTTGAGTGCATTTTTGCTAACATACTGTTGTTAAACTTTTGGATCCTTTTCACTTTGATAAGTGACAAATGGAGTGTAAATGTAGTTTTAATTTGTCGATTTGGTTTTATAGAATGAGGTTGAATAGTTTTTCCCATGTTTATCATCATCAATTTACATGACCTTTATGTGAAATGTCTATTTTATAGTCTTTGCTTATGTTTCATGGGTTTTGGTCTTTTTCTTATTCATTCTAGAGGCTCTTTATATATTAGGAAAAGAGCTCTTTGTCTATATGAGTTGCAGGTATTTTTCCCAGTTTGTCATTTGTCTTTGTTTATGGTGATTTTTTTTATAGAGAGGTTATTGTTTTCTATTCATATGAGTTATTAGGATTTAAATTACTTTATGATTTCTTTTTTCACATTTATGTCAGTCCTGATGTAAGGTATGAGTACAGATTCAAGTTTATGTTTTTTAAAGATGACTATCATACAGATCTATTGCAGTTTATTGATAATCATCTTTTCCTTACTGATTTGAAATACTGTTTCAATCATATGCTAAATTCTCATATGTATTTTGTTTTTCTTTCTGGATTTTTCTGTTCATTGATTTATCTGTTTATCCATATGCTGACCTCACGTTGTTTTGATGATCATATTTGGTAATTTGTTTTTATATCTGATAGGGTTAGGCCTCTCTGCCGCTGTTCCCTTTTTTCAGAAGTTTTATGGCTTTTCTTGCTTGTTTTTAAATTTGACATTTTAAAAGGATTTGATCTGAATATTATAAATTTAACTTCAGTTTTGAGAATTTCTGCACTTCTAAGTTTAGACTTGGAGTCATGGAGTCAGAGGGATAATTTAGAGATTTGTTGCCTAACTATATTATAATATTTGTTCAAATATATTCCTCTGTCTCTACAAGCAGATAAGCATAATTACTTGGACATCCTGTTGATAGGTTCATGCACTTGTAACTTATAAATCTTAAATTCAGTTCTTGTCCCAGTCTGCTTTCCTTAGAGTGTTGGGAAGAAATCATTGGTTAACAGGGCAGTAAATACTTTCGTTACATTCAGATATCTTTATCTTAATCTCAGTTGTAATAGGTTTCTTCTGTAATACTTAAGTTTTATTTAGTGCCCCATTGTCATTTGTGCAGCTCACTCAGTTTTTGTTTTATTTGTACTTAGATGATTTAATAAAATTAATATAAAATAGTTAATGTAAAATAGAATGTTCATTGAGATCCAACCTTTTGTATGAATATGTTTAAATCCAAAGACCTCATTTTCTTCAGCTTTTATTGATATGAGGATGTTAGCCCTTCATATGCTGTATTTTCCTTTTTAGCATGATACCAATAGTCCCTTGCTTATCAGTGGAACCTCTGCAACTGAGCTCCCATGGGCTGTAAAAGTAAGTAAACTTTTTAAATATTTTCTCCTTACCCCTGCTTTTCTTCCACAAAATCCTCTCTCACTACTTTCAAAATATACTGAAATCTGAATTAGATGTTCATAGTTTTACTTTTTGGGTAATAGTGGTACTAGAAATCTTTGGAGGGATCTTACAGCATTGTCAATCATTTTGTGACAATTAGTATTGGCTTACTCTCATTTTTGTTACAGTGGTGATGTCAAAATCCTGTATTTACTAAAATATTGATGAATATTTTACCCCACTGGTATTACGTCTTGCTTAAAAATTCTGGTTAAATAGGTACTCTTTTTAGAGCTACAAAACAAACAATTCTTTATGAAATCTTTGTCTGAAATGGGTCTTTTGCTTTATAGATGTTTGGAGACATCACACTGGTTATAGTTAGCGTCAGATTTTTAAAAGTGTAATTTAAAAATACTTTTCAAATATAGCAGATCAAATGACCTTCAGTAAATGTGTACAGTTTTGTCAGTAAGCTGTTTTGGTTTGTATGTCTATGAAAGCTGTGTCCTCTTAACTAATTTTAAAAAGTGTTGGGTTTTGGACTTGACAAATTATGAACAGTAGATTTTTATGTTGTACAAGTAATTTTCCAGGATTTTGGACATTCTTGTTATTGATAAGAAATCTTGCTTTGGGAAAAATGGAGGAAACTTGATTTTTGCCTGTGGTAGTGATTTTCTTTTTCAAAGTTGAGTTTGAAATGTTAGTCTCACCATGTTTAGAAAGTCATGGAACGTCACTAAACTAGCTGTGTGTTTTATGAAACTTACTTCCTTGTTGTGGATCGGTTTCAATGAGAGGGCTGGACTCTCCCTTTGAGAAGGGCTCTTCTCAAAGTCCTTCTACCACTGGATTCTTTTGACTCTAAACTGACAGAAGAAAAGCAAATATGTGTTCAAGCTACAAAAGAAATGGAGGGGATACCGAAATCTTGGGTGGAGGAACTTAAATTATCATTTACTGTAATATTTTGATAAAAGTGAAAATTTTTTAAATGATAAGTTAAAATTTATGTCATCTATTCTTTGAGGGCTTGATTTTTATAATTACAGTTAAATCCTTTTCACTGAAGTTTTAATTTGCGATTTTTTTTTATATTATAGTCTGAAGATAAGGCCAAATATGATGCAATTTTTGACAGTTTAAGCCCAGTAAATGGATTTCTGTCTGGTGATAAAGTGAAACCAGTGTTGCTCAACTCTAAGTTACCTGTGGATATCCTTGGAAGAGTAAGATATTATTAAATTCTAACTGTAATTTTTATGTATTTTAATTCTGTATCTACCAGAAGGACTTATAGCTCATTGTTAAAAAATGTACAGATCTTATTTTGAAGTTGTATTACAGAATTTTGGGTGTTCTGACTTAATATATAAAATCATTGTCAATTTATTTCTTTGTTTGGATTATTCCCTCTAAAGTATGAGTGTTTGAAATTAATTATATCTATAAACCCCTTAAGGAGGTCCTTTTTTCTTTGTGTTGTACATTCTGACCTCTCAAATCCAATTCCTTGACCTAATTTCCAGAGATCATCGGGAATTTACATTTGCTACCACCGATTCCATGGTTGTGTCATGGGGCCTTCTCATAAGGAATAGTTTCATCCCTGAAATCACCAATTCTACTCTCTCAATAGAACTTTTGTCTTTCCAGATCTCTTTCCTAGGTACTTGGAAAACTACCTCTTTGACTTCATCAAAATTTTTAAATCTGACTCCTTTACTTCTCCCATCTTTTGAGTTTACTTTTTTTCCCCATCCGACTTTAATTTTTATGGTCCACAGTTTCATGTCAGTATCTTTAGCTCCTTTTTCCATGTTTTCTAACTGCCTGCTTGCTCAGTGAAAATCAAGCTTTGCATGAAGCTAATTATTACCTTCTCTGTGGTTGCATATTGGGTACTGAGAAAGTCGGATAAAGATTGGTATCATCATAATTGATCAGCATCTTCAGCTGAGCTTTCCTTACTGCCAGCCACTCTTGTGCTGTTTCCATAGTGATTTTTCTCTACCACTCTTCATATTCATACCTTATCTACTCTCATTAAACCTCCTGTCCTCTTTAGTCACTTGCTTAATCAGACTCTGTAGAGTCAAATCCTGGCTGCATCACTTCTTAACTGTGTGACGTTGGACAAATCATTAGAAAAGCATGTCTCAGTCTTCTGATTTTTAAATGAGTATAATTCCCAGTATATAGGGTTGTAAGGATTAAATGTGATAATGTATAAAAAGTACTTAGCATAGTGCTTGGCACAGACTCTCTGAACACTTAACTGCCATGCTGCTGCTGCTGCTAACAACTACCACTTCACCACCAGCAGCAGCATTACTACTGGATCAGTGAGTGTCGTATGGGATAGGTGCTCAGTAAATATAAATTTAAAAGCCATTTTCTAGTATTGTTTCTTACTCATCATTTTTCCAATGTGTGGTCTGTCCAGTGTGAGATTTCTAAACTATAACTATAATTGTGTTATCTTCTTCTTTTTAATATAAAACTAACCCTCTTTGTAGCTCTCCATTGTATTTAGGATAAAGTCTAAACTCCTTTCAGGGCATTTAATGGTCAAGCATTTGCTTATCTCTATTCAGGTTTCTCATCAGCTCACTTTCTCTTCCTGCCCCAAGTGAGATTTTGTTGAATGTTTATATATCTTGTTAATGTAGTTTTAATGTAGGATTTAACGTAATTTTATAGCGGGTCTAAAGCTGTGAAGTTTATTCTTGTTTTAGACCAAATCTACTAAGGCCTTTTAGATTTTATTTCTTCTTGTTAAGCCCTGGCCTGGACATTATTAGCTAGTTAATGATCTATAACACAGTATTTGCTGCATATTTCTTTTAGTGAATTAGAGATTCTGTAGTGTAGGGAAAACAGGGTTGATGGAACCACATGGAGCTGCTGCATGAATTAACTGAGATGATGTTCGTGAAAAAGCGTTGTACAATAGTTGTCTTAAGTATTGTATACATAATTGTTTTATGACTTGAGAGGAAGAAAATAGTTTCAAAAAATTTTGTAAAGGAATTTCTATTTAAAAAATTCGTGAATTATTATTTCTTTTTACAATAATGTTAATACAGCATTTAATACAATACCAATGTAATAAAAATCAGCATAATTGAAATTTCTCAGAGAAAATAATAATGTTTAGGTGAAACTTTTACCCATTTTTTTTATTTGATGTTTTTATTTGACTTAAGTTGGTTGGAGTGTAACACATGAAATGAAAGAACGTTATTTTTCTCAAAGTTTTTTTTTCTTTTTTAAGGTTTGGGAGTTGAGTGATATTGACCATGATGGAATGCTTGACAGAGATGAGTTTGCAGTGGTAAGGAACCTAGTGCTCTTAAAATCTTAAACATCTTAATGTTTTTCTCAAGTGAAAATTTCCCCTTTTAGTTCATCCTTATAGGAAAACTTATTTCCCTAAGATTGTTGGTATGATTATTTTTACCTAGAATTTGTAGGTAATCAATAAATATTTTTAAGCAAATGGATAATAGAAAATATATGTGTTTGCTCTCTTCACTTTATTTAATTTTAAGGTACATACAAATATACACTTTGGATAATGCACTGTGAAGACGCTGAATAGTATCATCATTTGTATTTCAACTTGACCAGGCATCTCTGTACCTGCTTCTCCTATGGGATAATTTTACTTTGCATATACTACCCCCAAATTTTCAAATATTTTTCATTAGAGGAAAACACGAATAATATTTTAGTTTTGTTTCATTTATGTATGCTGAGAAAGTTTTGACATCTTATTTGAAGACATGTTACCCTTAGTAATTGGATAGTTAATTTCAAATAGAGTTGTATTCATTTTTTTCGTAAAGGTTAGATAAAATTCTGCAGTGAACTCATGAATGGCAAATTTCTAACCCCCCTTTTAATCTCCTATTTGAAAAATAGCCTGTTTAAATTTTCTGTATTTATTTTGCTAAGGAATTATCCATTTCTTTGACTTTCAAACTTGTTACCACAGATTTATTTGCATTATTCTTTTCATCTCTTCTGGGTTTATGATCTGTTTTCATTCCAAATCTTATGTGGGTTTTTTTGGTCTTATTTTTTGTTTAATTGGAGTTTATCTAGTTTATTGATCATTTAACAGAAGATATCTTTTGGATTTATTTATTCTTTCTATTATGTCTTGACTTTTATTCTTTTCAACTTTTATCTTAATTCTACCTATCTAGTTTCTTTTGGTTTACTTTTTTGAAAAAAATTCTGACAATGAGTACTAAGTCCTTTTATTTTTTATCCTTAATACTGAAAGCATTAAAAGGACATTTTTCCCCGGAATACAGGTTTAGCTAGATTCTTCAGATGTTGGCATGAAATATTCTCATTTTCACTACTTTGTAGATAATTTTTAGTTTTCTTTGATCATCTATTTAGGAATGTTTCCTACTTTTAAGGTTTTACGTTTGTTTGGTTTTGTTTCCTTTGTATATATTTTTAGCTGATTAGATTATGCCTTGAGAATGTGGTTGTTAAAACCTCAGTGAAGCCCTGGCCGGGTGGCTAAGTTGGCGTGCCATTCTGTACACCAAAGGTTGTGGCTTCTATTCATGATCAGGGCACATAACTAGGTTGTGGGTCCAGTCCCTGGTCAGGGTGCATATGGGAGGCAACCAATTGATATTTCTCTTTCATTTTGATGTTTTTCTCTCTCTCTCAAATCACTGAACATATCCTCAAGTAAGGATTAAGAAAAAAATCTCTCCTTAAAAATTTTTAAGATTTTCTTTTTAAATTTATTTGTTAACTGCATTTTTTTTCCTATTGCCGTTTAGTCCTCTTATACCTCCTCCCACCAGCAATCACCACGCTGTTGTCCATATTCATGAGTCCTTTTTCCTTTTTGCTCAGTCCCTCATTCCCTAACTTCCTCTCGCCCCGCCCTTAGCTGTCATCCTGCTCTCTATGAATCTGTCTCTGTTTTTCTGGTTAGTTCAGTTTGTTCATTAGATTCCACACATGAGTGAAATCATATGGTATTTGTCTTTCTCCGACTGGCTTATTTCATTTTGCATAATGTTCTCCAGGTCCATCCATACTGTCACAAAGGATAAAATTTTCTTCTTTCTTACAGCTGAGTAGTATTCCATTGTCTACATGTCCCATAGTTGTTTTATCCACTCGTCTATTGATGGACATTTGGGCTCGAGCTGTCATTGATCCACAGCTTGTGGATTCCTCTGCTGGGCCTGTGTGTGTGCAGAAAGAACCAGGCTACACACCATGCGAGGGCTTTAACCAGCACCCCACCCAGGGGCGGGTCAGCTGAGGCCTCAGAACTCACTGAGATCTGCCTCAGTTGTTAACTAGTCAGTGATAGAGCTTCAAGCTGTACTTAGCAGCCTGGCGTAAGCTTCATGGGGTGGGGCTTTTGCTTCCCCTCAGGCTGAGGCCACTTGGAGGGAAGTAGTCTGTCTGAGAAAGATGGCTTCTGCAGTAAGGGGAGATGACTCAGCACAAGGATCTTAGCAGATATTCCTTCAGTTGTTCTCCCCTGAGAGCCACCAACCCCAGATTTTCCTCAAGCATCTCTAGTACACTCTGCGCTCCCTCTGCTGGGGCCCTGGGTAAGTGGTTGCAAATGAAATTTTGTGCATTGCCCCTTAAGAGGCTCTCTGCATCTCGAGCTGTCTCTCCTGGCAGACAGAAACCCTGTTGCTTTTCATAGCTCTGTGTTATTTGGGTTCCTTTGCTGGCTCTGATTCTGTAGGCCGGGGAGCCCAGCTTTGGGTTTAGACCCCACACTTCTCAGGAGGAACCTGCTCCCCTACTCCCACCCTGGCCTCTGAAATATCCCTCCGGAACTTCACCTGCAGCCTGGGAGAGCCCAGCCGGCCCTCTCGCAGCTCTACACTTCCTACCAGTCATGTTGTGGTGATGTCGCTTCTTCCATCTGTCCATGGTTATAAGGCTTGTCTCCAGCTAGTGTTCATTTGGCTATTCAGGATGATTTCTCCACAATTTAGTTGTAATTTCAGATCGGTCCTGGGAGGAGGTTAGTGTAGTTTCCACTTACTCCTCTGCCATCTTGGGTCTCAAGATTTTCTTTGTTGCCAAGTTCGTGACCTGTTTTTACATATGCTCTCTGGATATGCTAACATTTCTGTACAGGATATTTTAGGCTTCTGTACATCCACAATATCAATTTTATTATGTTACAGTTTCTCTTTGTCCTTTTCTCTGATATCCTGGAGTAAGCTTAGGTTTATTTTTTATATTTTTACATCAAAATCATCAAAAAATATTCTAAATGCTTCTTGGTTAAGTGTCTATCTCTAGCTATGTAAATACATTTGCTAAAACATTTCAGTTTAGACACGAGTTGCTAGACAGATATTTTTTGTGTGTGTGAATATGGTCATCATTTGATTTAGTTGCTGCATCTGTTTCAATGGCATTCTTTGGTCAAGGTAGACCTCAGTATTATAAGATAACAAACAACGTCGTTTTTTCTGTTTTCTTTTATCTTTTTTAGTAGAAAAATTGACTACAGTTTTTGTCAAAGTAGCTATTTTCAAGGCAACATGAAATTAATACTGTAGTATATTTTTAACTTTCAAAAAATGTATTGTCTATTGGTAGCAGATAGCTGACATTGCTTTTTTGCTGCTAGTGTCTACTTTTCCAGGAAATGACTGCCATCTGCAGCAAGAGGAATGCTGACCTTTAATGTTCATGTTCATCACTTCTTCTGGCCCATCGTCAGTCTGATAATGTTACATATATTGTGTATTGTGCTAGCCAGATTGGTTTTTTCTGGAGCCTTAATCTTTTGGAGATAGAAAGATTGTATGTTTTTAAAACTGAAATTGCGGGGGGAGGGGAAAGAAGAACTGAAATTGAATTCTTCGAGTTAACTAGTAAATGGGGAGAGGAGAATTGTTGGTTTGGATCAAATGGTTAAACGTGGCCTCAGAATAAACAGCATCAGCATCACCAGGGAATTTCCTAGAAATTCTCCAGCCCAACTGCAGACTTACTGATTCTAGAATTCTGGGAAGAGGGCCCAGAAATCTGTGCTTTATCAAGCTATCTAGGTAATTCTGATGCCTGCTACAATTTGGATTACCAAGGGGTTAAAGGTTAGGTTTGGGTTTTTTTCCCCAAAATCCTATGTTTATTGATTTAACAAAGAGGAAGGGAGGCAAGGGAAAAGAGGGATGGGGTGGGGAGCCGGGGGCGGGGGGGAGAGGGGGAGAGAGAGGGGGGGAGAGAGAGAGAGAGAGAGAGAAAAGAAACATCGATGTGAAAGAGAAACATGGATCATTTGGCTCCTGTTTGCACCCTGACTAGGGATCAAACCTGCAAACTGGGTATGTGCTGTGATGTGGAATTGAACCTTCAACCTTTTACTTTAGGGGATGACATTCCAACCAACTGAGCCACCCAGCCAGGGCAAATGTTGCTTTTATTTCTTGTAGAAGAGAACATAGTATTGTAACATTACATCTGTGCTCCTAATACAGCTGAATAAATCTGGAAAAAAGAGCTTTGTAGCCCGAAGATCTTGGTTTAAACCTTACTCTATCACCTCTTAAAAATAAACTGGACAAGTTACTTAACATCATTTAGCTTCAGTCTCTTCATTTGTAAAATAACATTAGTAATCTCAGAAATCATGGATTGTATTAGGTGTTCAGGAAGTATTGATTTGAAAGTCCCACAAAACTTAGAATTAAAAGCAAATTTATTTTGGGGGAGAATTGTAATTTTTAGAAGAAAAAATTAAGAAGAAATATTAAATCTTCCAGTTGCTATTGTAACCTTTCTGGGGGTTCCAAGTTGCTTTGAGTAATTTCATATGCTTGAAGATAGTTACAGAGAGTTTTCATCTTTTGAAAGTCTGGAAGGTGCCTTGAATTCAAAGTAGACGGGATATCCTGATACTGTCTGTATGTAGGTTATCTCATTTGTGCAAGTGCTTTATGCATTTAATAATTAAAAGTAATTTTAATAGGTAATACGTTCTCATGGTTCAGAATTCAATGCAGTATGAAAGAATATTCAGTGGAAAAATCTGAGTCCCATTGTTGCCCTCACTGCTCCATTTACACCTATTCCATAATGAACCACTTTTCTTAGTTTCTTTTTTGTCCTTGTAGAATTCTTAATGCAAATATAAACAAATATGAGTAATTGTTACCCCCTTACCATAGAAGATAACACAGTATACACACTGTTATATATACTGTTCAACACTGTACTTTTCTCAGGTTTAACAGTGTATTTTGAATATCTTTTCACATAAAGAGCTCCATTTTTTTTTTCCGGTCGACTTTATTAAGCTCTACTTTATATACAATGAACTGCATTTGATTTAAGTATATAATTTTACAAGTTTTGATAATTGTATATACATGTGAAAGTACCACTACAGTTAAGATATAGAATGTTCCCCTGCATTTTTTTTGTTTCATAGTATTTCATCGTATGGATGCATCATAGTTTTTTTAACCAGTCTTCTGTTGATGGGCATTTGGGTGCTGATACAAGAAATTCTGTAATTATTTGTTTTTCATACAGCATTTCCTATGTAGGCAGGTAGGTCAGGATAGATTTCCAAATGTGGGATTGCTGAGCCAAAGGGGAAATAAATTTGGTAAATATTGCCATTTTTCCCTTCATAGACTTTGTACAGTTTGAGCTCCTACTGGCAGTGTATCTGTTTGCCTCATCAAGCTAACAAAGTACGTTATGAAACTCTGGATTTTTGCCAATTAGGTGGAAAATTTTATTTTAATGTAATTTTAACTTGCCTTTTTTAATATGAGTGAAAGTGAGCGTATTTTTGTATGTGAAAGGATAAGGCATTTGTAGTATTTACTTTTCTGTAAAATATCTGTTCATATTCTGCCCAGTTTCCTATTGGATTTTTTTTTCTGATAATTCCTAGGAATTCTTTATATATTAGGGAGATTAGCTCGCTCTTTGCAAATATTTTTCCCCAGGTTGTTTGCCTTTGGCATTGCAAGAACTTTTGTTGAAGGGTATTTTTCTTTAGGTTTTAATACTCAGGATATCTTCCTAAAAGTTGCTTAGCTTTGATTTTTCTTTCTTCCTCCTTTCTTTCACCTCTCCTTCTCTTCTACTTTCTTTCCTTCCCAGCCCAATTTCTTATAAAAGGGATTTGAGACATACTGCAGATGCTTAGTTATTAAACAATATTCAGTTCTGTGGGTGGATGTTGTTAAATGATTTTAATATATATGACCCTGGTTCATCTATTTTGAAGGCCATGTTTTTGGTATACTGCGCACTGGAGAAAGAACCTGTGCCAATGTCCTTGCCTCCAGCCTTGGTGCCACCTTCTAAGAGGAAAACGGTCAGTATATCAGGCCCTATGTGGTTGATCCCCACCTCAGCATCAGCCAAGGAATCTTACCACTCCTTACCACCTGTAGGCATTTTACCTACCAAAGCACCATTAAGACAGGTATAGATTTATCAGTGTTAACTTTTTTTTTTATACAAAGTGCATGGCATTTAACAGTTGATTGCTTGATGAAGATAGAGGGAGCAATCAAAGAGATCAAGATTTAGAGCTCCCTCTGGTTGAATCTGCGTAATGTCATGTCCCAGAGAAAATAGATAATCCTTCTCCTGCATTTGGCCTTACTTAGGTCATATGATGGTTCATTGGCTTTGCCTTGATCAACCTAGAATTAAAGTTGGAGGTAGCAGATACTCCATGCTAATCTGGCATGCTCGCCCTAACTAGTTAATAGGTGTTTTTGTTTGTTTAATCGCTAGTTAACTCTTGATTCTTTGGGTTCAAATTATCCAATTTTAGGTTATCCAAGGCCTTTTTTCCCCTCCAACCTGCTTTTTGTCAGGTTGATTAAAGGAAAATAATGGTGGGCTGTGCAAATCAGCTAATTTGGCTATAGTTAACACTGCTGAATGAAACTGTAAAAATTGGAAATTGAGAATTATCTGAATATTTTGTTTATACAGACTCTCCCAACCCATATTCATGTGGTCATTCATAAGTCAAGAGTTAACTGTGTTCAAATTTACTCATTACTTAAAAAGGAAAAACTTAAAACGGGCACCTATAAATATAGTCCCACTGACCTACATGTTTTTTCTGTAATTTTCTCTTTACCACAGCATTTGGTTGAGGGTGTGATGAAAATGATACAATGTTGCTTAGATAGTAGTCAGTGTGGGGTAGAATTGCTCAGAATTTGTGGCAGATACTGTCATGGGTTAAAAGATATCACTTCAAAGTTTGTTTCATTTTGGCAGAAATGATATATATATATATATACATACACACACATTTTCTCCTGCAGTGGGTTGTATCACCTGCAGAAAAAGCTAAATATGATGAAATCTTCCTGAAAACTGATAAAGATAATGATGGATTTGTGTCTGGATTGGAAGTCCGTGAAATCTTCCTGAAGACAGGTTTACCTTCTACTTTACTAGCCCATATTTGGTAAGACTTTATTTAAACTGATTTAAAAAACAAACACAGTTTTGTGTCAAATCTAGTTTTGTGTGTTCTTATTTTTAGGTATTTGTAAATAAGAAACTTTTTGTTTCAGCATTCTTCATGGAAAAACTTAAAACTGAAGATTTCTTCTGGATAATGAACAGAAGCTTGAGAATGGGTTACCTAAAGTTTTATAAGATTAACATTGTCAGTTAATTGTTACTAGAATGTTAAAATGCAGCATCTATTTATATCAATTCGTTAAACTTACATTTTTAAGGGAGATTCCAAAATCTGAAATTTGAACTGTCTTCAAGACATATTTGTATAATTCTGTAGGGTATGTGTATACTTTTATACCTTCACATAGGAATTACATTCTTGGTCCCTAAAAAAGACAAGCCTTAGTATCTCTCGTGAATTGCACATTCAGTGAGATAATGTATGTGAAAATGCTTTAGAGTGTGCCAGCTGCAAATCCATGTGACTGTGGCAGAGGTTAGCTTGAGGTTTTCAAGGGGAAGCAACATTAGAAGTGGAACCACATAGTTGCCAAGAGAAACTTAGAAAACAACAAAGGGACAAGAACCCAAGACTGGGAAGATTATATGCATAACTAATAATAGCTGCCACTTTTGAGTACCTAGGGTAGGCATCACGCTCAGTAAAATGGCAGCTGTCATGGGTATAGCGTTATGCCCACGCTTTTTACGTACTTTGTCTTTAATTCTCACAGTAACCTTGCAAGATGAATGTCATCTCCACTTTATAGATGAAGAAACCAAGGCTTGGAGAGGTTAGAAAATTTGGCTAAGATCACAAGAATAAATAAATAGAAAAGCGGGAATTCAAGGCTGCTTTGACACTGTAACTCATAGTCTCTCTGTCGGGCTGTATTGGTTTTCAATGAAGCAAACAGATCAGGACTTCCGAAAGCTGACCTTAAAAAAAAGAAGAAGAAAATAAAATAAAACATTTGCTGTTTTTCTTCAAGTGGTTTTATAAAGCTTTCCAGATTGTTGCTCTGTCTTCATATGTGATCTCCATTTGCAGCTGTTGTTTCTCCTTTGACTTGTTGATCCTTATATCCTCCTATTCCAAGAGTTGCAGGAAGCAAGCTGACATGGAAATTTTTGCTTGTTTCAGAATTTTTTTAATGCCACTAATGAACCAAATTTGTTGTAACTTAGCTTTCATTTTCTTACATCTTTGAATGTTGAAATGTTGGGGGTAGACATTGTTGGGATTCTTTGGTTCACTATAACTCTTACTCAGTAGTGGTTGTGAAAATTGGTAAGAAAAAGTAGAAAACAAACCCAGATGAGAGGCCCCTGCTCAACACCAGGATGAACATTCTGTCTATCTGTCTGTCTGTCTCTCTCTCTGCCTTTATCTTTTTTGATCTCTCGCGTCTAACATTTGAGTGAGTTTTGGGCAAGCCACAAGTTAGTATGACTTTGTTTTGTAATTCAAGTGATCATTTTTAAAAAGCTACATAGTCATATTAGATTTTTATAGTGGTGGTGCTAGCATTTATATACTCTTCATTTTGTTTATTTGTACAGGGCATTATGTGACACAAAGGACTGTGGGAAGCTTTCAAAGGATCAGTTTGCCTTAGCTTTTCACCTAATCAATCAGAAGTTAATAAAGGGCGTCGATCCTCCTCACATTCTTACTCCTGAGATGATTCCACCATCAGACAGGGCCAGTTTACAAAAGGTAAGGCAACTTGAAAGAAAACCTTAATGCATTAACAGAAAGGAACAAGTGCTATGTCAGATGACAGACTGAATTTGGATGGAATAGTGGAAACAATGTATCTGGCTAGGAGCTGAGCAGTGTACTGTTTGTGGTTTGGTTTGTGACTATAAATATGCTGAATGCATGTATGACATCTTTGGGTTGTGCCTTGTTTACCCCATCATTCATTACACATGGCAACCACATTTCCAGTCTCAAAATTGGAAAAATGTGGTCTTCTTTTCCTCTCCTGAATTTGTGGATTAATTTTTATGAATAGGGTATAAAATTTAAATGAAATCCATAAGAATTAATTATGTTTAATTTAATGATTCGCTCTTACAAAAAAGAATACAAATTTGAAAACAAAATCAAGGAGATTATAATTGCTTGGTATCAGTTTTAAATTAAGAAAAAAAAAAACCCAGGAAAAACTTTGTGTTGAAGTCTGTGTGGTTTCTGCCATGTGGATGGCCCTCTGTTCCTGAGCACATAGCCAAATTTCACACCTGCACAGCTAGAAAGAAGTTTTGCTGCTTTTGGTTTCTGGCCATCAGTATGAATTTTCAAACCTGCATTGGTTAGCCCTGTTGTGCCTTGCTTTTTCTCTCCTCATCTAGAAACCCTTCCAGGTATAGCACATTTGTAATATCTTGGCCTTAATAGAACTTTAAAAGGGTTTGCATACTTTAGTGGCTATTTTCTGTTAATTATACATACAGATCTTTAAATTTCTTGTGACCTATAAAGTAACCATTGCTGTAGCGATTCTTCAGCATTATATTGGAGTGGTCAAATGTATGATAAAAGAAAAGCACTCTTTAAATGTCAATAGAATATTTTGGTTTTGCCTTAATTTTCTCACATAGATTTTAAAAATCCCATTTAAACAGACTTAATAAAAGTCAAAAATGGCTTTGTTTTGAAGTGGTCTAAATGAAAATTTGTAGACACCAGGTACAGGAGTTACTTGTAAGAACTTTTATTCCTATTTTTAAATAAAATAAGTATTTGATTATTGGCTTTGCAAGTTTTTTGGGGAGAGCATTTTATGAATTTTTTGAGATTTCTTGTGATGTAGGATTTGGGTTCCCTAAATTGTGGAGAAGGCTAAAAGTGATGCCACCAGAAAGGTAAAGGTTACAAATCTGTGTTTGTGTCCTCTGCTATGACCCTCTCGCAGTGATGGAATGCTGTGTTGTGTCACCCTTTGTTTTACTTATGTGACTGGTTTTTTTTCCCTTGCTGCCTTCATTTTATACACACTAATGTCCCACCAACACAAATTACAGATACCACAACTTGCTGAAGCAAATTATGTTTGTTCATTGACGTCTCTATGACATTAGTAGACACTTCGAGTTGTATATGTTCTGCAGAGTTTTTAATGTAATACATTTGTTTGAAGTTCACTCACTAGAGAGAGCATAGACGTCCCTGTCTGCTTATGTCAGATAACAGCTCTATTCATTAAAATGGGATTTCTATCACTGTTTCTTATCTGTTAACCAAAATTTTTAACCTTAAAAATTAAAATTAGCATTTATTTTGTCTTTATAATAATCTCTTTTCTCTTTATAAGCTGATTTTTTTTTTAGAACTGAATTTTTTGTAGCTTTGACTAATCCTTTTTTGAATGTTGCTTTCCTTTCTGTGTTTTTTCTAGTTTGGACTATTTTTTCCCTTCTGCAGCACTCTGCTTTTCGCCTTTCTTATACTGTCAGTTTCTTTACTCTCTCAAGGTTAGAGCTTTACTTTTGCCTTTTTAGCATTACAGTTTCGGGTTTACAAAATACACTTTGAAGTTAAGTTTTTTATGCAGCAAAGTTGATGCAGAGAAAATACCTAAACAGCATGCTTCTATCACTTGTCTGTTACTTGGTCCTTGTGTGTGTTTTAACTTGCCTTCCGTAGGCTCTCTGATCCACTTCAAATCACCAAAGTGGAATTTTTGTGTAATACACAAAACAGGGTGAGAGAACATATTTTGAAAGAAGGGAACATACTACATTTTTCTTCATATGCCCTTCTTATAGTTCACGTGCTGTTAGGCTTCCTGGTTGCATGTCATTTTATTGCTTTAGTACGGGAGTTTAATTTTTGTGTCAGCAGTTGAGTGGCACAAACTGTGTACCAACTACAGGACACTGATCTTCCCTCGGAGTCATCTGTGGTGTCACCTTATAATTTGAGGTTAAACTTGTTTGTTTCACTCTTCTTATTTAATGATATTTTTTAATAGTGAATGGCTGTCAAATGTGAGTCATTCTTTTTGGATTAGAGTGATAGGAGAGGTGTGGAAGTCATTTCACAAAGGAGATTGAGCCAAGGGGGAAGCAGCTCATTGGGAGGCCATCCATCTTCAACAGCACCTTCTGTTGAGGAAGTTAATTACAAGAGTAACTTACATTTATAGAATGTGAAGTTTGTAGAGTGACTTCACATGTATTATTTATTTCATTTAATTCTTAAAGTGTGCAGGGCAGAAATTATTTCTCTATTTTACAGTGAAGATCATATAGCTAGTAAAATAGTACAGCCCAAAATAAATCCACCTAGATTTTCTAACTGCAGTACCATTCAGAGACCAATTTTGACACCTTTATTACTGAAAGAGAACCATATGTACAGGATGTCATATTTGAAGATAGTTTCTTATCTGGTGATAATACTATTTACTATGGGACATGCTTGAGCAGTTGATTTTACTTTAAATAGAGTAGACACCAAAAGTATTTAACAAAAGTAAATATTTGTTGAATTGAAGAAAATCAATGAACATTATAATTCTAATACTCAACAAAAATTTGTGCACTTACCCTGCCACATGATTCAAATACAAATAAATCACTGTTCATTTCCACAAGAAATATATACTTAGTTAATGGAGGAATTACTTTATAAATCTGATATCTGCTGTACTACAAGTTCTGGACAGGCTAGAATCAAGTGACAAAGACATTGGGATCCGAAGTGATGGTACATAATACAGGATAATAGCTTTTAGAGAATTTAGGGGAAAATGTCTTAATATATAACTGTGTGTGTATGTTTAAAATTGTACTAGATATGGTGTTCTTAAATAAAGTAAAATTGTTGGTAATACCATAAAAAAAGTAATACCCTATGTCCATGTAGTGCTTTTAAACATTTTAAATGCTTTGCCATATCTAATTTTGTAGTAATAATGTGTAATTATGAACATTTTGTTTTTAGAACATCATAGGATCAAGTCCTGTTGCAGATTTCTCTGCTATTAAGGAGCTAGATACCCTTAACAATGAACTAGTTGATCTACAGAGGTATGTAAAGTAAAATTATTGCAACTAACTGTATAAATATTTCTCTCTCTCCTGTTTCTTAGTAAATACTATTTTATTTGGTTAAATTCTGTGGTTCTTCAATTGGTAATTAGTATAACTATTTCATCAAACCTCAGGCAACCTTTCATGATAGGATGTACTATTTTCTTGTGTACCACTAAAACAAGAAAATTCATTTAAAAAATCCAAATAAACAATGACTTGCCTTCGACTGTAAGATACTGTTTGATTTCAGACAGTGAAAAATATGTATCTTAGAATGAATAAAATATAACATTCCTCTAACTTTAGATATTTGAATAACATGTTAGAAGAACATTGTTGTTTAAGAGCGTAGTCTGTTAAGAAAGTTAATTATAAAAATAGCTTACATTCCATTTTGTGGAAGAAATATTAAATACAGAGACCATGCCAAGAGCTTTCATAACTGTTATCCCATTTGATCCTCTCAAGAGCCTTATGACTTGAGATAGATGTTACTGCTCCTGTTTCATAGGTTAGGAGTTTAGATGCTTTAGAGAGGTTATTTTGGTGAAAGTCATACAAATCTGTCAACAGTAGAACCAGTACCTAATCTCAGGGCTACTTGATTTGGAGTAAAATCTCCTTTCTTTACATAGGTACTGTGTAGAACAGACTTGAATACAATTAGATTTGATTTTAAATACAACAGGTACTATTGATATTTCCTTGTCCCTTGCAAACTTTATGGTAATACTCATTGTTGAAAATACCCTCCTGAAATTACTTTTTTTTAAATCCTCACCAGAGGACATGCTTACTGATTTTTTTGAGGGAGAGGAAGGGAGGGGGAGACAGAAAGAGAAACATCGATGTGAAAGAGAAATATCAACTGGTTGCTTCCCATACGCACCCCAGCCCAGGAATGAACATGCAACCTAGGCATGTGCCCTGCCCGGGAATCGAACATACAACCTTTAGGTTTATGGGGCAGTGCTCCAACCAATTGATCCACACCAGCTAAGGCTAAAATTACTTTTTAAAAAGTGAGACCATTTTTCCATCTACAAGGCATTGTATTTAAATATTGCTGCATTTACAGAAACCCCCTTTTTCTTTACCCTGAATATGCTTCGATGCAAATAATGACTGATACTTTATTTTATTGATGGTATTGAGATATAAGAGGATTAAATCATTTATCTGGACTATATGACAAGAACTTGGCAATGATCTTTCCATATGCATGAGACTATATTGAGATTGCTGCAGAGAAACTTAGTTGTAATTTTTTTTTTCAGCTGTAAGAAGGAACCCAACCCAGGCTAACTTAAGTGAGAGTGAATTTGTTGTCTTGTGAAACTAAGGCCTCTTAAGGGTAGTGATGGCTTAAGGCATAGTTTTATACTGGGGCTCAAATCATGTAGTCAGTTCCGTTGCTCTCTCCATTCTTGTTTCCACTTTTACTGGGTTGACCCATTCTCAGATGGATTTGCTGATTGTGTTGTCAAGGGGGCTGTCACACACCTAGCCTCATGTACTTATAATTTCCAGTCTACTGGAGTGCCTCTCTTCTGGCAGTTCCTGCAAAAGTCCTAAGATTGAACCTGATCGGGCTGGCTTAGTGTCATGCCTACCGTGAAACAATCAGTGGCCAGGGGTGCCTACCCTGAAACAGTCAGTGAGCAGGGATGTGTACAGGTAGATTTTTCATGAACCCTGTCCTGAGAGTGGTGGGTGGTAGTTTGCCACAGACACCACATGAAGGGGAGAGGGAATCCCCACGTGAAAATTCTGCAGGAGGGAGAAATGAGTTCTGGGGAGGTGAATGCCTGCTGAAGACAGTGTGGCTTTAAATCACCAGTGATTTCAGTGATCAGCATCTTTGAACAATATGACGTGACATTCTGTAAATTTATTCTGGATACCTTTTTAAATGCCATTGCTTAGTTTTCATCATATCTACCAAATTCTTATTTTCTGTTCAAAAATTGGCCTTTGCCTGTTACTTAAAGCCTCTAATATTGGAATCCTAGAGAGTAAAACAAAACAAAAACCCGTTGGATATCATATAGTTCAACTTTCTTTCTTACTTGTGGGAAAAAATCAAACCCAAAGTCGCACATCAAGTCAGCAACTGTGCTGGCTGGCATTCAAACCAGGTTGTGTAAGTTCTACTTCTGTATTCTTTCTTTTATATAAGTCTGCCTCTCATTGAGACTTCAAAACATTTTACTTTGGTTCAGAGTCGGAGACGTAAACATTTGATTACTGAGTCTGTAATGGTGTGTAGACTTTTCATTTTCATGTGGTCCATTATTGGTCTATAAACATTTTTTGCCTTATATGTAATGCACACTAAATAGTTGTTAGATTTGAAAATACTCATCTTCTGGTCCTCACAGGCCCATGAAAATGGACACATATCTCAACGTTCTAGGACTTGCTTGACTTCAACAGTTGTTATTTAACATAGGAAATGTTATGTTTTGAGTTTTAACAGGAAGTAGAGCATCATACATGAAATGTTCTTGCCGGTACAAACATGTGCAATTATTAGTTATTTTGGTCAACTGAGGTTTCACTAACTTTTAGTAACTCTAATGTTAAGTTGTACTAGAGGTAGTCTTGTTTAGTGAACCACAGCTAACATAAAAAGACCATATCTAACATTTTGTGACTGCCTTTTTAAGAAAATGATCGACCTCCAAAACCTTGTTAGGGTTTAGGTTGTAGTCATATTTTAAAAATGTGTAATACATTTATATATGATTCAACATTTGTGAAAATACTTTCCCTAGGCTTTTATTTATGTGAGATCTGCAATGTACGCAAACTTCCATCATCTGTCAACTCCAGTAACATCATAATGAGGCTCATTGACCCATGCTAAAATCATGATTGTTAAAATTCAGTTTTATAAATGTTTGTATTAGGTCACTAATTCTTTTAACTTTTGCTACATAGGAATTTAAATACATCAGTCAGACTAAATTAGTGTGATACTTTTAACTTAAAGAAGGAAAAGTAGTGACTGTAACATAGCAAATACCTGGATCTCTCACCCGAGCTCAAGACCCACATTTTTTATTGCTTACCATTGTTTTCATCTGAACGTCCAGTAGGACGTGACTTTCTCATCTTCCCCTGACCACTGTCTTTGTCTCTTTTACTTCCCTTTCTCAATAATACCACTATTTCTGTAGTCACTCAAGCTACAAACCTGAGATTGTTTCTTTCTCTCATCATTATTTTTCTATCTTTGAAATGTTTCTTGAAATCATTTCTACCTTCTCATCATCTTGCCTAATTAACTCCTCATCCTTCAAATCTCACCTTTGACGTCATTTCCTCCAGAAGGGGAAGCCTCCTTTGACTACTTTATGTCCCAATCCTGGACCTGTCAAACCTAATGTAATCACCTGTCATACGTAGTTTTTATATTTATACTTGTCATTACATTTACCGTACTTTATTATAATTGTCTGTTTTGTTTGGAAAAATAAAACTAGACTATGTACTTTTTTAAGCATAGGGACTATTTGCTTGTTCACTGTTGTAACCCTAATGCTTATTAGTGCATGTAATGGATGAGAAAATAATTGTCTGAATTTTGTTGAAATCTGTCCTTTTTTTCTTCTCTTTCTGTCTTAGTTTTAGCATTTATCTCTTACCTGCATCACTGTTATAACCTCCTCATTAACTCTCTGCTTTGAGTTTCTTGACCATCCTACCTCCAATTGATGTATGAAGTACAACTCAGATCCCTTAGCGATTCCCCATTGTCAGTTGGATCCAGTTCATTTTCCTGATAACACCATGAAGTTTCTTGCAGCAAATACAGTATGTTTGTTGTTGTACTCTCAGGGTTCAGATAGTGCTCTAATCTATTTCAGTTTCATCCCTCTTCTCCAGCTGCATGGTGGGTGAGTTTATTACCTCTCACTTCAATATGCCACTGCTTTTTTATTCTTCTTTGCCTCTTGTTCCCCTTTGCCTGAGCTTCCTTTTGCCTTGTAAACTTTCACTCATGCTTCAAGGTTCAGCTTAAATACCATTTCCTTTGTCAAACCTTTCTGAAAGATTGATTGCTAGTTGCTCGTTTCTTTCTACTTTAGACTAGAGAGACTTTAGTCTTTTATAATGCTACCTACCACATTTTATTGTGGTCTTTTTAAAAATGTGCATAAAAAAATTTGAACTCCTTCAAGTCAAGAGCTGTGTCTTATTCATTTAGATAGGTTGACAAATTGGCACACACGTTGCCTGAAACCATAGAATCTCAGTATAGGTTTGTTGGTTGAATGAAGAAGTCAGAGTATGTTATAAATATTAGAATGTTTCTCATATTTAATTCCTACAGTGTATGGTGCACTAGAGGTCATATATTAAATGACGAAATAAAGCAAAAGAGCTTCTCAATAATGGCTTATTTTGAGGACTATAGTAGAGGATTTTATAGATGAAAGGATTTTTAATCCTCGTAGGGAATGAGGTTAGTGGGCTGATTTTTCATATTTTGACTACCTGTTTTTGTGTCAAGGAACTCCTTTGAAAATCTGATGAGGACTATTAGACTGCATCCAGAAAAAAAATGTGTTTCTATGTATACCATTTTACATTTATTTCAGGAGTTCTCAGGTCCTTAAAAACTATCCATGAAACTGGTTTCAAGAACCCTTGATCTGAAAGTTAAGCGGCTCACTTGGCAGTGATAAGGTGGGATGCATTGAGAAAGTGCTTCTTTCACTTAATGTGGTGGTGGTGAATTGTGCTGAGCAGCAGTTAATATTTGTTTGTCTTCTGCCAGCTTCTTCTTCCTTCCTGTCTCTGTCCTTTCAGCAAGAACATCAGGAAGTAAAAGCTACATCCTGTCAGGCCAGTTGTTGTCCTGGTCTTGGGCCAGTAAATGGGATAGATAATTACAATAATCGTTGTTAGCCATTGTGCTCTGTCTGCTTTATATAAATTCTTTTATTCAGTTCTTGCAATGCTGCTGAAGGGTAAGTAGTTTTATC